TATATATAAAATCATGCTCAACACAGTGTTGTTTTAGTATTATTTATATAGTATTAGAATATTTATAAAAAAAATGTTTAATTATTTTTATAATTTGGTTTTCATTTTAGTTTGTTTTAGAAATGTGCTTTTGTTATTTTTTATTCGTTTTTTTATATTCCTTTACAGATAATCTAATATTAATTTTATTTCAGATTTAGTCATTTTAGTACTTCATCTCAGTTTTAGAATTTTTGTTTTCGTTTGTTTTTTTTACATTTTTCATTTTGTTTTATTTTAGTTTATTTTAGTTTACTGAACTGTAAGAACAAATACATATATAAACCCATATGTATTTACTCAATTCAATCACAAATAGGTGCCAAATATGGAGTTTGTGGATGAAACAGCGACAGTGTGTGTGTGTGGTCGAGCCAGGCACAAAGAAGAGAGACAGCACGACTGAAAAATGGACTGACTATATCCGTAGCTTTGGTTCCTTTATCCCGTCTCTGTCTCTCCGGGCCGAGCTACAGAAGACTCTTTGTGTAAACAGAGAGAGGCTAGTTTGATCAGGGGAAAGTGCCTATTGTCTCTCCTGATGTCCCCTGACTGCAGCGCTAAATAAACTTACAAAGCCACACAGAACGAGAGCTGAACATTCATACACGCACACTCTTCTGGCATGATCTTGTCATCGCGCCTGAGAATCCCCGAAATATTGGACATGCAGGACCCCCACAGATCAGCCCGTTTGCACTAATCCAGCCCAATTTAAACCCTGCGAGCCCATCAGGACCTCAATCCCTCTTCAGAACAGAAGTCTGCGGATCAAGTGGTCTGGAGAGATGGTTCTGTTTGTATTGATTGGCAAAGATAAAGGAAAAGTCACCATCATTAACATACGGTTTTCATTTCACAACCAAATGAATGACCTCACGGCATGCTGGACTAGTTACTATTCCTTTGTGCTCATGGCAGATCATAGATTATTTGAATGAACAGAGATTTTAGGACACCAGAACATCTCTGAAGATTATTTAAAGTAGTATCACTTTTTTTCATCATCAGCTTGTTGGTCAAATATCATACTCTGTGTTATATAATGAACAGCAAATAATGTACATTAACTGTATCATTTAATACCATCATTTATATCATTTATTTGAATATATTATTTTACTATCATATATCATTCATTCATAGAAATCATTCATTTCTGTTAAAATAAATTCAATGTAAATATATTATTTTATTTTCCTATATTATCAAATAATAAATATAGTACAGATTAATTGAGCAATCTTGAAAAATTGAAAAATAAATGAATAACTTTTCTGTTATTATCACATTTATTTATTTATTTAAATACCAATACATATAATAAATAATTATTTTAATACATATTTTAATACATATTAAAATATTATATTATGAATTATTTTTATTAATATATTATTTTATTTTAAAGTAATGTATTAAAATAAATTAGGTTACAATTATCAAATATCACATATGTCACATATTATCAAATAATTTAAAGGGGTCATATGATGCGATTTCAATTTTTCCTTTCTCTTTGTAGTATTACAAGCTCTTGGTGCATAAAGAAGATCTGTAAAGTTGCAAAGACTAAAGTCTCAAATCCAAAGAGATATTCTTTATAAAAGTTAAGAGTCAACCACGCCTACATGTCTACATCACAATGTGGGAAGATTTGCATAACGCCGCCCAAATGTTCACGCAAAGAAAGACGGCGTAACTTTTATTCTCGCTGTAGTATTGTTGTTGCCGCCGCCGCCATGTTGTGGAGATGCTGTGTGTTTCGTTGTGAAAGCTAAACTACTTTGGTTGGCCTTCCAAAAGAGGACGATATCTGCTTCATCATGCCTACAGCTGATCCGTGTTGTCGCTGAGGAAATACATCAACTTCGTGCTGTGGATCGCCGGATCGGCTTTCACCGTGGACGAAGCGGAGTCCAGCCCGGGGTCGTCACATGTGGTTGCCACAAGCCTCCTTCGTCGAATCCGCCGGCCGCGCCATTCTCAAGCCCACCCGCCTCTGCTCACTCAAGCCGGCCTCCGCATACTCTAGGCCGTGGCTCACTCTAGGCCGCGGTGTGTGACGCTTTTTCGTTGTGAAAGCGAAACTACTTTGTTTGGCCTTCCAAAAGAGGACACGATTAGAAATCAATGGTTAAGTTGTATTTACAACACTGTTCCAGAACACTTCAACCAAAATATTCAGATGTGTGCGGCACATTTTATGGAGGACTGTTTCCTGATCCTGGGAGAGTAGACTACAATGCCGGCTGTTCTGACTCACAGACTGTAAGTAAGTTTTTTATATTTAAAGAATTTGCCACTGATGATTCAAACGTGAGTTTTGAGCAGTGTAGAGTAGGTCTTGTTGTTTGTCATTTCTCCGATCACAAATGCAGACATGGTTTTATGTTTACGAGGTACGATGCAACGCAATGCGTAAAAAGACAGTATAAGTCATTATAATCCGTAATTATGTCCCCACTGGATGCAACGAATGCCTCATTTATAATGGGGTTTCATGTTTTTGAATCATCGCTCCGGCCTGACAGGGCATCACAGTATGGTAGGGGTGTAAAATTTCCGTCACACGCTTGAGGTATTCAGCCAATCACAACGCACTAGATAGTTGGGCCAATCACAGCACACCTTGCTTTTCAGATCGATGAGCTTTGTAAAAATCGGGCATAGAGGAGAAACAATAATGTACAGTATGTGGAAAGAATGTGTTTTTTGAACCTTAAACCTCATAAACACATTTCATTACACCAAATACACAAAATAATGTTCTTTTATAGCAACATCATATGACCCCTTTAATAACTATTTTATATATTTAAGATAGAGGAGCTGACCATCTTGAAAAAGACAAATTAATAAATATTTTATTCTAATATTGGATTTCTTTTCATTTATTTTAATATACTATTCGTTTATCATATACATGATAATAAAATATCAAAATTAAGTATACATAAAAATTCAATAAATAATTTATATTAAAATAAATAAGATGCAAATATGTGAATTAATATTCATAATCAAACATAAATGAATAACATTACTAAAACAACCAACCAAACAAACAAATAAAAGAATAAATGCACATTAACTGTATAATTGAGGTTTTCTGTGTGTAATTTTCAATAGGCATATGAGTTTTCTCAACTTTTATGAATGCATTAGCATATACAGATGAACTCAAAACATACATGGACTAAAAGTCACGAAAATTTAGTAATTTAGAACCCCCAACACTGCACATTTTAGACGTCTCCCTACTCAAACACACCTGATTCAACTCATCAGCTCATTAGTAAAGACTCCACGACCTTAAATGTGTGTCAGATAAAGCCAAGTTCACACTACACGACTTTAAACGACGGAGTTGTTGATCTGTAAATGGCAATGGGAAGAAATCAGTGCTGCAACTGTTTGCATGATGATCTGTTCTGAAAAATGTAGCTCCATTTCTTCATTCCAAGCTTTTCTTAAAGTAGTGTTGCTGCAGCCGTTTTTCTTCTGCTGTTCTCAACCCATGCCTTGCTCTCTGATTGGCTGCAGCTCGTCGTTACACCTGACACCAAGTGATGTTGAGTCGGCTGACAGGTCCAGATATTTACTTGCAAATCTGGCTTAAATCTGGCTTAAAATCCTGTAGTGTGAACTTGGCTTTAGAGAGACAAAACATCAAAAACATGCAGTGTTGTGGGCTCTCCAGGACCAGGATTGGGAACCACTGGTCTAGATAATATATGCGATGGCAAAAACTCAGTTCTGTCATACCTGGCGTCCTTCAGACCTCCAAAAGCCATTGACTGTTTTAGTCGGGGCGATGGTGACCACAGGAGGGGTGCCTGTGGGTGGGCCCAGGCTGGCACCCATGGCAACCCGCTTCGGCGTACTGACCGGAGAAATGTGATTGGTCACTGGGGAGGAAACATGTGATGACTCGCTACTTATGGAACCTGTGAAAGAGAAGACAGATGAGTTTAGAGAAATCAATTAAACTTTTCATATCAACTGAATTTAATGAAATATAAGACAGTTGAGCAATCTTGAAAAATAGAATTTTATTTTATTTATTTACATTAATAGAAATAAATACAATAAACAACGGTCTTTATTTTAACATATTATTTTCTATCATATGTATATGATATCAAAATAATATATATATAAGATTTAAAATCCTTATTTTCGTTTATTATCAGATGCAACACTCAACAATCTAAGAGAACCGTACTGTATAATAACATCAGAGGCAAAGACAGACTATCTAGACCAGTAGAAGTGGCAAAGGGAGGGGATTTATTTATGTGTGTTTGCATGCCAGACTGAACTAACAACTTGTCAGATGAAGTGAACATACATCATCACTTCCCTGACTGCCAGCCTCGCCGCTATCAAAGGCCCCTCTGGGCTGTCAGATCAGATGCCAGTTTAAAGAGATAAAGAAACAAACACTGCCATCTCCCTGCGGTAAACACAAACACACACTCATACTGCGGTAATGCAGCGTTTTACTGTGATCAAAGACCGTTCGAGTGTGTGTGTTTGTGTGTGTATGTGAGAGAGAGCGCGCATACATGTCTGAATTGGCTATGACACTCCAGAACACAAAACAAAGACAGTCTTTGTGTCTCACAACCAAGTGCACAAAGAGAGAAACTTCACGTGAACGTTATATCACTATTTATTACACCGAGCTCCAGAATACTGCATTCTGATTGGTGAGTATCAGCATTTACGTTTTCACTGCTTTCCACAGAAACACACCGGTACCAGTGTGGTTACTTTTATATCTCTCATATTAAACATCATTTTCATTTAAATAAAAATTCAGATGTAAATATATTCATTTATTTTTCATACGTTATCAATTATAAATCTATTTATTAACAATTATTTTACTGGGGAGAAAAAATGCGATGAAACATGCAATGGCTAGAAATGGAACCAGAGTTAGAAGAAATCTTGGATTTTTTTTTTATAAATATATTTTTTAAATATTATAATTGTTTGTTTATTTATTAATTATTGAAACAATTTATTTGTTTAAATATATACTGTTTTAATACCATATAATATATATTAAAATAATATATTAAAAGTGTGTATATATATATATATATAGAGAGAGAGAGAGAGAGAGAGAGAAAAATTCACTGAAAATGATTAAGTTAGTCAAATTAATTAGATGTAATTAATTCATTCATAATTTATATTACAATTAATAAGATGGAAAAAAAAAATTTATTCCCATATCTTATCAAATATAAATACAAAAAGTATTGTATACATAAATGACATTTTATTTAATTGAATATTAGACCGATGTTATATTTTATATATTAAATTATGTGAATTTAAATAAGACATGAGTTGAGCAATGTTGAAAAAAACATTAATAAATATTTTATATGTACATTATATATATATATATATATATAACACAAAGAGTAAAGTAGGTCAGGCCTCCTCAGAGCGCCGCTGCCTGCCGGAGAGCTGATTAGACTCAAGACTCCCGCTTTTCCACTACTTTACTCCTGTGGTAAATTTGACTTTAGTCTTTCACATATCTGATATTTTTCTACCTAGAAAGCTTTGCCAACTCATACTAAGTGGTTAAAGGGAAGCGTCGCTATTACTGTTACCAGTACTCAAGGTTAGGGGTTTTTCAAAAGCCAAAGAAACTCTTCCCACACTGTTTATGCTACAGGCATGTAAGATAGCTCATATAGTGCGATATATAACAGATATAACAATAAAACAGGTGTGAAAGCCCTTAAACTGTCTTTGAAGGCCATATTTAGAAGATATTTGGTAAGTCAACATCGATCAACAACACCCTCTAGCAACTACCTGCTCTTGTGAAAAAAGAAGAGCACTTAATTGTATTGAATGTAATGTACTTCAAATCTTAAAAGGATATTTAAAAAATAAAACTGTACTTGCAGATAGTAATATTAATTAGGGATGCACGATATATCGGCCACCATATCGGTATCGGCCGATAAATGCTCATTTTTGCTGTTATCGGTATCGGCCCAATAAGAAAATTTGGCCGATATCTTAAAGCCGATAAATAATGCATTATTTCCTTCAGAGACACTTCAGATGCGCGCTGTTCGTTTGCAGCCTTTTGTGCAATTGTACGTTGTAATATTGTGTTTACTTGATGTATATCTGATTTATCTCATATACTTTTTTGTAATCAGGCACTCAAAAAGTATATAAAAATTTGGATATAGATTTATCGGCCAACATATCGGTTATCGGCTTTCAAAAATAAAGGATTATCGTATCGGCCAAAATTTTCATATCGGTGCATCCCTAATATTAATCAAATAAAAGGTCACTTAAGTGTGCTTAAAGAGAGACACTTCATTGCTTACTTCTTAACACACTCAAGTACACTTTTTAGAGCACTTTTTAGTGCAGTTTGTAAATGTCAAATGAACTGTTTTACTTGAAAGTACATTTTAAATCATTGTTTTAACAATCCTTTATTGTGTTTTAAAGAATGTGCTTATTTTGATGTGTTGACAAATGGTGCTTTCACACCGGTCTCATTTAGTTCGGTTGAATCGCACTAGAGCTCGTTGTCCCTCTTGACGTGGTTCGTTTGGGCAGAGGTGTGAATGCAGCAATCGCACTCGGGTGCGCACCAAAAGCGGACCAAACAAGCATACTGAGACCTCCTTGAAGAGGAACACTGGAGGGGCGGCGCCTCATAGAAATTAGGTCTGATGACCATATTAAAAAAGCGGCGTGTGGTCTGCTGGCTTTTCCTCCTCTCTTTGTTTACTTCTGGGAGTTCCGTTGGAATTTTCACGTTAATTTTGGAGTTCACGTTAATTCTGACCAATCGAAAAGCAGTTTAGGAAATATGTTCAAAGACACATCCGGCCAACGAGTGATGTGGATGTTGTCACGTGACTGCATTTTGGTTTGTTTGGTTTGGACCGGAGTAACCAGTGTGGTGTGAAAAGGAACCAAGACAGCTGAAATATGCTACAATGTATAATTTTTTGCCCTTGGTCCGGACCAAATGAATCAAACTACTGATGTGAAAGCACCCTAACATACTAAAGCATGTGTAAAGTACTTGATTATCATTTTAACTAGTACGTTATTTGATACTTCGTTTAAAGATAATATATTTTAAATGTACGAAATTATAACTTCATCATTACAAATGAGTAATTACAAATAATTAAATACATGACATACAAATGTAAGTATATTTCAGTTGATCATAAATGCTTGTCAGTGCATTCGTCAGTACATTTTAACTATATTTTTCAAAAAATGAAAACACAAAAATCACAACACAAATCGGGGGGGGGGGGCCTACATAAAAAAAACAAAGCAAAAATGAATAAAAAATAAATAAAAAAAATCACAAAACAAATCAGAAAAAAAAACTAAATACCAAACACAAAACAAACATCAAAACAAAAGAGGAACAAAGCAAAAATAAATAAAAACGCAAAATAAAATACATATAAAATGCATTACAAAACAAATCAGAACAAAATACTAATAAAGCTAAACTAAATAAAAATGCAAAATAAAACAAATATCAAAAAAAGGAACAAAGTGAAAATTAAAAACGAAAAATAAATCACAAAAAAATCAGGAAAAAATACATTACAAAAAAAAAACATAGCAGAACAAAATTTAAATGTACGAAATTATAACTTCATCATTACAAATGAGTAATTACATACAAAAAACAAAGCAAAAATGAATAAAAAATAAATAACAAAAATCACAAAACAAATCAGAAAAAAAAACTAAATACCAAACACAAAACAAACATCAAAACAAAAGAGGAACAAAGCAAAAATAAATAAAAACGCAAAATAAAATACATATAAAATGCATTACAAAACAAATCAGAACAAAATACTAATAAAGCTAAACTAAATAAAAATGCAAAATAAAACAAATATCAAAAAAAGGAACAAAGTGAAAATTAAAAACGAAAAATAAATCACAAAAAAATCAGGAAAAAATACATTACAAAAAAAAAACATAGCAGAACAAAACAACAAAAATAATAATCACAAAAAACAACATAAAACAGAAACACAAACATTTAAATACATGGCATACATATTAAAGTATATTTTAGTTTACCATAAATGCTCGTCAGTACATTCAGCAGTACACTTTAAACATATTTCAAAGACAGTTATGAAATTACACATAAAAATGTACTTAAGTGGGTCAAAAAAGCACATCTAAGTTCAAATAATTGCATTTAACATACATTTTCATTAATACATTTTCATTTAAACATTACATTCAGTTCACACTTAAGTATATTCTTTTAAAATATATTGTTTCTGTACTCTTTAAAAGTATGCTACATCTTATTCACAAGGGTAGCAATGGGCTAAAACCACTCAAATAAAACTTAAAAACTCCACAGCAAAGACCTGGCAACCACCCCCAACAACCTATAGCATCTTAGCCAGATGCTAATCAGAAAACGTAATACTCTTTTATATATTTACCATATCTGTATATGAAAGCTGATATTTGACTTGTTCGCAGTCATGCTATCTGTTAAACACTGAGAGAACAAAGAAAGTGAGAGAAAGAAAGTTGTATGTTTGTGCATGTGTGTATTTGGATGGGGACGTCACACACACACACATACAGTCAGAGGAAAAGCCACCAAAGCCTTAAACAAAAGACAGCTTTTCCAAACAGGCTTAGCAATCTGAGACAGAGCATTGACTGTCATTGAATTACCCTAGTCAAAGAGTATACGAGCGCATAAAGTGACAAGCAGAGGCAGAGCCGTATGCACAGCGTGATAAACTCACAGAGACAGCAGTAAAAAGACACTTAGAGAAGCTCTATAGAAATTACAGGCATACAAGCTCTTATCCAATCAATATAATCCTTTTCTCTCTCTCTCAGAGCTTTGGAGAGAAGAATATAATGATCA